CTATGTGGACACCCAAAAACACTTTTTCCATATTCGTCCAGCGATAAGCCTAGACAGGGCAATTGGACACCTTGAATTCAAACCACCCCCACATTCACCGGCTATTATACGGACGGTTGTGGGCATCGACAAATCATTTTTTTTTTTTAAACAATCCCCCACATTTACCGGCTACGATACGGACGATCGTGAGCACTGAAAAACCATTTTTCAACTCTCCACGCGCGATACCAACCACAACACAACCTAACACAACTCAACTCAACCCAACCCAACACAACTCAATTCTACACAACACAACTCAACCAACTTAACACCACATAACCCAATACAATTCACATAACACACAACAAGATTCAACACAACCATTTCAACACAATGCTCATATCATCCATACCATTAATAAATTCTTTTCTCCCAAGTTTGGTTCACATTATAACATAATTTAAAACATCAACATTGAGGGTTCAATCGCAACTTTTACATAAATTTGCAAACTCTTTAAAATTTCAATTAAACTTATACATATGTAATTTAACACTTTAATTTCATGATTCTACTATCAATTGAAGCAAAACCATTAACCATCTTCATGAGCCAAACTAGAGTTTTTAAGAGAAGTTAAAACTTTTCACAAAATACATTTTAATCCAACCCTTCTATTACTTTTAGACCCAAACTCATGACCCAAGATCATAACCCAACTCTCTTCAAACCCTAACCCCCAATTTCATAATTTATCGCAATATGCATAAAAATATAAACTTTTGTATTTGGATAAAGAAAATACCACAAATCTATCCATAAACGAAGGTATTGAAAGAGAACTAGAAATCATTACCTCTTGAACCCAAGAGATGACGACCCAAACGTCAATGGTGATGAAACCACGAACTATTCGGACCAAAATGAAGCCCTCGACGAGATCTATATTCTTTCTCAAAGGACCATAGAGAAAAGATCACTCCATGTGAGTAGATTTAAAAAGTTTGAGTTTTAGAGAGAGAGAAGACAACTCACGATTTGAGAGAGACGAAAGAGGAGAAAAAGTGAAATGAAATATGTTTGGAGCCTATTTATAGTAGTAGAGAAGTAGCCCTAAGGTCAATAAAATAATAGCCCGAAACCCCTCAAAAATAGGGCTCAAACCAGCTCAAAAAACTAAAAATTACATACATGGGTCGACCCTTCGGGCAGAGGTGTTGACCCTCCAGAAAGAAAAGCAATCTGTGCAACATGTAAGGTGTCAACCTTTAGACAGGAAGTGTCGACCCCATTTTCCAGCAACCAATACATAGATTTTGCAATATACAAGGGTCGACCCTTTCCAGATTGGTGTCGACCCTTGTGGACAGTTACAAGAGGCAGGTGTCGACCCTATATTCCAGCAACACTTCCAGAAACTTCACCAACAGGTAAGGGTCGACCTTTAGGAAGGCTAGTGTCGACCCTAGAATAGAATTTCTAAGTTTTTAAGGAACTTTTTGACAAGAACAAGCGCAAACAAACAAACAAACTCAACGATTTTAAATCGGATCATACTCCTCCAAAACCAACATTCAACAACTCCAAAGACTCCCAAAAATGAAAATAAGGGAATTAAATACACTCTCCAATGAATTAAAAGATGCAGGTGTTACAATTAAAAACATTTAGTAGCATATGATTTAGTTTTAGAGTTATGATTTAAATTAAAAAATTTCAAAACTTTTTTAAAAACTCATAATCAAACAAAATTTTCAAAACTTTTCAAAAAAAAAAACTCATAACCAAACAAAAACACTATTTTTTTAAAAAAAAATTCAATTTTTTTTTGTTTTGTTCTTTAAAATTATTTTTTATTTTTTTGAAAAAAAATATTTTTTTCCAAAATATGTATTTTTTATTTTTATTTTTTTAATATTTTTTTTTTGAAAAAATATTTTATTATTTTTTTAAGTATTGACCAAATAATTTGTTATGATTTAGATATATATGGGTGATCCAAAATTTTTTAAATTTAAAACAAAAATCAAATATTTAAAAAAATAAAAGCAATATTTAAAAAACAAAATAAAATATCTAATACAAAAAGATAGAAAAATATTTAAAATAAAAAATAAAATTTTAAAATATTTCGTGCTTGTAGGTTTGGACCCATGCGAAAGTGAATGGCACGAATGAAAGCGAATTATTGTCAATACTTTTAACGATGTCCACATGGTCATAACCACCGGGATTTGAATTCAATACATCAATGTAGAATTTTAAATTGGTTTTAAGTATTAGCAAAATAATTTGTAATGTTTTAGATATATATTAGCTAATCAAAATTATAATTAACCAGTGCAAAAATTGTGAAGAAATGAAAACAAATGTAGTAAATACAACACACATTAAAAAAATAAACAAATATTTACAATAAAAAATATTTATCCTAAAAAAATAAAATAAAGAAAATTTTTAAATATTTAAAAAAAATAAACCCAAAATAATTTCAAATTACTACTCAAAACTCAAAACTCATAATCAAATAAGTTTTTTATTTTTAAAATTCATTTAAAAAAGTTATCTTTCAAAATATAATTCAAAACTCAAATTTTATTTCAAAAACTGAACCAAACGGAGTCTTAAATTTTGGAACATATAATTATTTTTGGCTCTTCCAAAAAAGCCTTAAAGTAATATGCATTAATATAATAAGGGATTGTTTGGGATGACTTAAATAAGTGCACTTTTTGTCTTTTTACGAAAGGTGTGCGAAAAGTAGAGAGATGATGTGATGGAAAAAAGATAAAAAGATAAAAAGATGAATTATTTTTGAATTGCCAAACTTGACCTAAAATTTGTTACTATTTTAATATTTGAAATTTATAAATTATTACCGTTGTTGGAAATAACAATTCAAAATTATTCTAAATATTGAAAGATATTAACACGTGTTGCATCCGTGCCATTTTTGAAAACATTAAGGCCAAGTTTGGCTACAAAGGAAAAAGTGCACTTATTTCATCTTTTTATTTTTTTTGGGTCATATCAATCAACATCTCCTCTCTACTTTTTCTACACATAATATAAAAAAAGTCAAAAAGTACACTTATTTAGTCTTTCCAAACTAAGTCTAAAGTCAATAAATGCACTAGGGAACGTGGACACTATGGAATAATTCAAATGTTTGTAAAGATAAATTAAAAAATAAAGCAATGCTACAAATTTCAAGGGGAAAATTACTTGTTAATGTTTAAAAGATTAATTATAAAATTATAAAAATATTATGATTTTACATATTAATATTTATAATGAATACTATTGATTTGAAAATATTCTTTTAGGCATAAACTGAAGTGATATTTCTCAAAAATTTTAGAAAGTTTACTTGGAAATATTTAAAATATTCCGATTCAAATTTTATTTAATGTGTGACTTAAAATATTTAATGTGTGAATCTTGGTGATAAAGTTGAACTATTCATTCACTTTTTAGTAAACATATTTCAATTTTGTATTCATGGTTTTCTCTAAAAATAAAAAAAAAGAAAAATATGTTGGAAGAGAAAAAAAAATAAAAAAAAGTCAATTAATCCAAATCACTCCTTTTGATTTTGAATTTTATAAAAATATTTTTTAATTTTTAATTCACGTTTTTTTATTTTTAGTTTTTTTTTTATTTTAAACAATTTTTGTTTTAAGTTTTAGATTCACTTAATTTAGAACATTTAAAAAGTATCAAATTTATAATATATATATATATTTAAAAAATTTCAATTTTTTTGCATTTATTGCATTTTTTACCAAAAAATTATAAATAATTAAAATATAAAAAAGTTACTAAAAATAACAAAACTTGAAAAATAAAATACTCAAAATGGAACAAAAGTGGCATTTAAAATTTTGGGAGACAAAAAAGGAGAAGTTATTTGGGGGAGCATCTATTTACACACACAACTCTCTCTCTATACACATCCTTCACACACAACTTCTCAATACACTCTCTCATTAAGTGTGTGGGAAGAGAAGATATTGGGTGTGCATATAGAAACAACATTTATTTACACACACCACTTTCTCTCTATACACATCCTTCACACACAACTTCCCAACACACTCTCTCAATAAGTGTGTAGGAAGAGGAGATATAGGGTGTGCATATAAAAGCTCCCGCTATTTGGTGGTCCCGATACGATCATGTGGTACTTTATATATATTGTGATTGATAGAAATGATATAACATAAATAATAATTTTATATTAAATGATTAAGAAACATTATAATTTGTAATTGATTAGAATATAATCACGTGATATAACACGAAATAATTTTTAAAAAATGTGAGAATTTCAAATGATTTTTTTTTCTTAAAAAATAAAATACTCAAAATGGAACAAAAGTGGCATTTAAAATTTTGGGAGACAAAAAAGGAGAAGTTATTTGGGGGAGCATCTATTTACACACACAACTCTCTCTCTATACACATCCTTCACACACAACTTCTCAATACACTCTCTCATTAAGTGTGTGGGAAGAGAAGATATTGGGTGTGCATATAGAAACAACATTTATTTACACACACCACTATCTTTCTATACACATCCTTTACACACAGGAGATATGGAGTGTGCATATAGAAGCTCCCGCTATTTGGTGGTCCCGATACGATCATGTGGTACTTTATATATATTGTGATTGATAGAAATAATACAACATAAATAATAATTTTATATTAAATGATTAAGAAACATTATAATTTGTAATTGATTAGAATATAATCACGTGATATCACACGAAACAATTTTTCAAAAATGTGAGAATTTCAAATGATTTTTTTTTCTTAAAAAGCCTCCCAAACGTGTCCTTATTTGCGCCCCCAAAAATTTACAGTGTCAAAAGTTGACGATCTGGGATTTTATTTTATTTTATTTTATTGATTTGAATCAAGTCGGATTTCAAACTCTCTAAAATCCGATATATGTATTGAATCAAGTCGGATTTCAAACTTTTTAAAATCCGATATATGTATTTCATCTTCATTCCTCCTTCGGCCCCATGTGAAGAAACACTCGCTCTCGCACGCTGAGAGACAGAGAGAGAGAGAGCGAGAGTGAGCTTTACAGAGAAGAGAGAGAGAGAGAGAGAGAGAGAGAGAGGAAGGGGTGAGCTCTGATATCTTCCTCGCTTGATGTTTTGAGCAATTAATCGTCACAGCGAGCCAAAAAGCCCTAGTTCTTTGTGTTCTGAGATTTAGGGTTTATTACACAGTGAGGGTTTGAAGATAAGATCGTGATTCTCCGGACCAAAGATGGTTGATTTTTGTGTGAATTGACGCTGATTCATACATATATATGTGTACCGTATTTGAAAATATTGTGGTGGTTAACTCAGTGTTAGTAGTAGTAGTAGTAGATTAGTGGGTTCTGAGATGGACGGTAGAAAAATTACTGCGAGTCCTCGGCCGTGCAGTGGTCGCCGAGTTGTGGCGAAGAAAAGGCCTCGCAGCGGCGTTGATGGGTTCAACAGCGTTAGGAAGCTTCAGAGAAGGGAGATTTGTTCGAAGCGCCACCGTGGTTTCAGTATGAGCGACGCCCAAGAAAGGTTCAGGAACATTCGCTTGCAGGTTGGTTCAATATTGCCTCCATTTTGTTTCTCATTTTCAGGAATAATTGCAACAAATGAAATATATATATATATATATATATATGAATTTGTATCTGTAGTGTGTGATGCACTGTGAAAATGTTAGGGTTTTTATGCTTTTATGAGTGTTCCGCAACTTACCTAGCATTGGTTCCTTTTACACACATACAATCGCTCTCACATACATACAATGTGTTTTCTCATCAATTAGTTGCTCATATGGGTTGTTGTTCAATATATCAAATTATTAACTTGCGCCATTAAAAACATACCAGTTTCTGTGGTGGACAGATTAAAAAAAGATGAAAAAATAATAGGTGGCAGGATTTTCATGTAACAAAAATGTAGGGAGTCCAAATCTAATTTGGCAGTGACTGTAATATGTAGCCCAGTTCTCGCTATGGACACTAACAGTTAGAGCGATGGATGTTGGTCTTGAAATTGGTGTACCTAATCGTGTGTACCAAAATCATGTGGTCTGTTTTTCTTGTGTTTGTATATGAGAAGATTTAGAACATGAATTTGTCTCCACCACTAGAATTTTTGTAGAACCTTCGTTTGGCATAAACTAAAATGAGATTTTTTTTGCTAAAATAGTCACAAAAAGACAAAATAAGTTTTTTAATCCAATAAGACAAAATATCGAATTCAAACCATAATCATTTCATTTTTTCTCTTAGAAAAATCAAAAAACCTATTCCAAGCGAGATTTTTTTTAGTCCCAGACTAAAATAGTCAAAAAGCTAACCCACATCCCAAACGAATATGTTATCACATTGAGGATCCTTTTGGGGTTGAAGTCTTTTAGGAATGTAGGTTGACCTTATTGGAAAAAGAGATATGAAATATGGTTTATTTCACTTTGGTTGTAACACATGATGCCAATTGTGGACATGTACTTTGAAGTAAGTGGAGTTTGAAAATGGAGAAGGATATGTTATGGGATGAGGTGATAAGCTAGCTTTTGGGTGGGGGGTGAGGTGGGTGCATGAGGATATGTTATGGGATATGTTGACACGTCGTCTCATTGGCATAGGTATGGCCTTACGGGCTATGTCCTTGAGACATGTATTCAAATTGGATGATGATCCTTTATGTGTGAAGATAGAAGAAAAGGAAGAAGCAGAAGAAGCTCAACGTTGATAGTAGAGAAGGGTTTTCTTACAAGGTAATATAGTTAGAACTCATTTTCTCTACAAAATTCCATTTTACATAATTTCTATTCAAGTATGAACCTTGTAATTACTTAGCACATTAAATATTATTTACACCATATAATATTTGAATGCGTGGGATCTATTTATAATAGGCTTATGTAGCATAAGCTACAGTGCTTGTGAGTCAAGACAAAATATTTTGAAGATTTTTTCTAAAACAATTCTTTGGGATGGAGTTTATGGAATAAAATATCAAAATACGTGATTAATCAATAATTTATCACAGGTGGATAAATCACATTAATTTGTGTAACATTCACTCAATATTAGTAAGTTGGGTTATATTGCCATATTATTGCACTGTATTGTTATAGTTGGTTCCCGGGTGGTGTTGAACTATCCTTGAATCAAAGTTTGGATTTCATAGAGTTTTTGGAGTAGTTTGTTGTTTTTTTCTTTTTCCTCCGTTGGCACATCCTATGCATATGGCTAGGACCCTCTCGGTATTTTGTTTCTGTTTTTTTATTTTTATTTTAAATATACCATTTATTTGTAAAAGAATTATTTATATTGTACAATAATATTTAATATATATGACATATTCTGTGTTATTTATTACAAGAAATTAGTATGTGTGTGATACCATGTCAACAATCCCACATGATTTTACCAGTCAATCATGTTTCATCACATGGAAAATAAGGGAATATCACATTTTTTATTGTTTTAACATGAGAATATGTGATGATTGACACGTGTACTTGTGCAGTGTTGCCTCCATTTGAGACACTTGCAATGTTGCCTCTATATTGAAATTGTTTAGATGATCATGCCATGTGGTATTGTGAAATGGTGAGTACAACCCACTGAATAATCTCTCGTTATATTACGTGAATGACACTTTTGTTCCATTTTTGTGCCCTAGTTGACTTTGGAAAAACTTTAAGAAAGAATCTTTGAATGATATTTTTACAAAATGCTTTTATTGTCTTCATAGAATAATGTTTCGGGAATTGGAATTGTGCAAGTATAAATTTAAAGAAGGTTAATAAGGGTTAGTGAGTGTTAAGATTTTTAGTTTCCAGCTAGGACACATAAAGTTGAACTTCCAAAACTTGAAAGTATAGATAAAAAATGGGACAGCGAGAGTATAACACATTAAAGCATCATTTATTATATGTACAACATTGCATTAAGCTAAAGATTTGAAAGATAATCAAGGTTCTCTACTCATCCAGCTCCCTCTTTAAGTTAGTTATATGATATATATCTTATGTGATTGTATATAACATTGTTTCTTTTTTTGGACAAGTATATACCATTGCATGATTTAATATAAATGTCCATTTTTTATTTTAGAAAATTTCACATTGATATATACTTGCTATGTTTTGGACTTGCAATGTATCTATTTTCTCAAAATTTTATTTCTTGATATGTTTATATGTGACATGTCATATATGTAAATGCATTTAATTTCTCATTATTTTATTCCTTGATATGTTTATTTGTGATATGTCATATACATAACTTAATGAGAAACTATTTTGTGGGTTTTACCCACCACGTCATCGATATCACGCGGTGTAACCATTCAATCAAATTTAGATACATAGGCAACATTGCACGTGTCCTGGATGGAGGTAACATTGCATGTGTCCTCGTGTCAACCATTATGTGTCGCTATTTACGCTTTTGGACATGGGGTTTTTTCTCCTTTCCTGTGTGGTGGAATTCGATTGGATGAGCGTGTCATGTGACAATGACACGTTGCCATTATGAGTTGCTGTTTAAGCTTCTAGACATGGAGTCGGAGGGTTTCTTTCTTTGTATTTTTTTTTTTTTGATAAATGGGTTTCTTTCTTTGTATGACTAGTGATAGCAGAAGAATTGAGAGTCTGCCAATTTATTTCCATATATAGAAGTTGCTAAAGGGGGTTTGTCCAGACATACCTTGAATTAGAATCATCCCACCCAGAATTTTCTTAGGATTGGTAAGTCGAGGTCAAGCATATGTAATGGGACTTCTCTTTTGCCATGGTCATGTTTAGGTGATTGGAGGATTAATTTTGGAATGATTTGGAAGGTCAGTTTTCTGTGTTGTCTGCTATTCATGTGCGTTGGCTGATAAGACTTTGGGATGATAGAATTATTGATTTGAAGATACCTGAAGATGTGGCAATTGCAGTGCATTCTACCCGCAATTTAGTTCTATTATCAAAATTAAGATGACAATCAAATTATGTGACTGAAATTTATATAAGCATTCAGCAATTTTTACGCATTGTGTTAGTGCATCTTGCCAAGCTATTTCTCATATAACAGAGAGTTTTTACTTGATTATTGATCTGATCATTTCCCCTATATTATTTTATAAGCTGTGTAGGTCTATCATTTTTGTATATTGTAATTTCTTCTGGTGATGACCTGTATGAATATTGTCTCAGGAGGAATATGATACCCATGATCCAAAAGGAGATTGCGGCATGGTATTGTCCTTTCTCAAAAAGAGGTCAAAAATCATTGAAATAGTAGCTGCCCATGACATTGTCTTTGCTCTTGCGCAATCTGGTGTTTGTGCTGCATTTAGCCGAGGTAGAGCCCTAGTTTAATAACCATCTCTATGTTTATGTGAAGAATATGTGGTGATAAACAGTGTATGCTTCTAGACATTGAGAAAAGGGGCCCCTTATAATTTGTCCATTGTTGGATGCAGAGGCTAACCAGAGGATATGCTTTTTGAATGTCAGTCCTGATGAAGTCATACGAAGCTTGTTTTACAATAAAAACAATGATTCTCTTATCACAGTCTCAGTTTATGCTTCTGACAATTTTAGTTCTTTGAAATGCAGGACCACCAGGATTGAGTATGTGAACTACACTGTTTCAGTTGCTCTTAGTTTCTATTATTTATTATTCATTATCAAACTGTTTAATGGTTCAGGTACATAAGGAGGGGTAAGCCAGATGCAGGTTTTGCTCTTTTTGAGTCTGAGTCACTGAAATGGCCTGGTTTTGTGGAGTTTGATGATGTAAATGGGAAGGTACTCACCTATTCGGCACAAGATAGGTAAGTATCCGATTATTTTGGTTTTCTTACAATGATCGTTTTGTGTACAATTTGCTTCTTGATTCTGATCCATATATATATATATATATATCCTTCCATTTTTTTATCAGCATATACAAGGTGTTTGACTTGAAAAACTACACGATGTTGTACTCCATATCAGACAAAAATGTTCAAGAGATTAAGATCAGGTAATCTTTCTGATAAGTACCTGCATAGATAGACACCTGAACAGTGTAGACGACACATGTTTGTAGGATTGTATCATGCATATGTAGCTTACCCCCTTTTTTTTGGTTTCTGAAAAACAGTCCAGGCATCATGTTGTTGATTTTTACCAAAGCTAGTGGCCATGTTCCTCTTAAGATTCTTTCAATAGAGGATGGTACAGTTCTCAAAACTTTCAAACATCTCCTTCATCGGAATAAGAAGGTGGATTTCATTGAACAGTTCAACGAGAAGCTTCTTGTCAAGCAAGAAAATGAGAATCTTCAGATTCTTGATGTAAGGATCTTTGTTGTGGTTTTGAAATAATTTGTTTTAATCTACGTTTAATATGTGATATTTGTTATTTGCAGGTTCGCAATTCTGAACTGACAGAAGTTAGCAGAACTGAATTTATGACTCCATCTGCATTTATATTTCTATATGAGAACCAGTTGTTCCTGACATTCAGAAACAGGACGGTGTCTGTTTGGAACTTCCGTGGGGAGCTCGTAACTTCATTTGAGGATCACCTCTTGTGGCATCCTGACTGCAACACAAACAACATATATATCACAAGTGATCAGGATCTTATAATTTCCTACTGCAAAGCTGATTCAGATGATCCATTATCAGAAGGAAATGGTAAATCACAATCACCTGATAAAAAAAATTGATATTATTACTATATTCAAATGAGGAATTCATTGAGAACTCCCTTCTGTGGGGTCTAATGGGTTAACCTATCAGAAGGAAACAATAAATCACGATCACCTGATAAAAAATTGATATTATTATTATATTCAAATGAGCAATTCATTGTGAACTCCCACCTGAGGGGTCTAAATGGGTTAACCTATCATGCCAATTGGTTAAGAGGAAAAGATAAATACACACACGAAATGCTTTTTAGTATGAAATTGATGTCTATTTCATGTTGAGATGCACAATTTATGTAAGGCATTCTACATGTGCAGCATTTAGTTCTGATGCCTTACTTATGAGCATGGATAGTATTGCCTTTTGAAGTTCGATGATAATGCTTTCTTATCATTGGGTGTACGATAAGATTTACATCTTTCATTCTTCAAGCACCTGTAAGAGTACCAGTTGCTCTAAAGGCGTTGTTAAGAAATGGTTCCGACAATGTAGGTCATGCTCTTACACTGTCTCTCTTGTGTGACTCTCTCTTGCAAGTGGAGAGACTAACACACAATGAACTCATTAAGATTCACGGAAAACAGAGCATGCTAACAAACATAATGGGGGAACAAACACATGTTGAAAGTTGAGCCCAGAACCACCTATTACTCAATGCATTGTTCAAAAAATTAAGTTTAGGAACAAACACAACATTACATATAAAGCTCTCACATGCCCAATATTGTTTCTGATGATGAACATTTCTGCAGGCTGAACCATCTTCTAATGAATGGTGTCTTTTCTGCCTAGAATTTATGTTATTTGCTTTTCAGCTAATTCTATTACATGATAGGATGTGCCATGGAGTTGGTGTTTTTGCAAGTGTGATTACGTCTAAATTGAAATTGCATATGTTTCTATTTTGCTTGCTTTGTTTGTTTGTTTGTTTGTTTGTTTTTTTTATTTTTATTTATTTAAGGGTGTTTCCATTGGTCATGCAGCAGGTTCTATCAATATCAGCAATATCTTGACCGGGAAATGCCTTGCTAAAATAAGAGCAACCAATAGTTTTCCCATAGGTGAATGCAGTTGTAGTGGATGTTGTAATGGCAGAAATTGCAGTTCAAATAAGCGGATCCGAGCTTGCAGGATTAGAAGCACTGTTGCAGAAGCCCTCGAGGACATCACTGCTCTCTTCTATGATGAAGAACGTAATGAGATCTATACTGGCAATAGACATGGCCTGGTCCATGTATGGTCTAACTGAAGGTTGTATCTTCCCTCACATCCCTTCAGACTCCAAGCTCGTTCTTCCTGATGATTGAAATCATTCTGCTTCCGGCTGCAAGAACTACGGGGAACTGTGCTATTAAATCGTGCTGTTTTTTTTTTCTTTAAATTCATAGCATGTGTTTCTTTCTTTTATTCATTCTCTCTAAGTGAATTTCTTCTGTTTTTTTTTTTTTTTTATTCTCTCTGGTGTAATTGAGGTTTGGCCCTTGGAAGTTGAGATGTTAAATGTTCGTACCTGTTGTAGATGAGCTGCAGGTAGATAGTTGAAGTGATGTAATAGCTGTTTGTGGGAAATTTAACATTTAAGGTTGCAAGTGTTCGCCAGGTGGTTTAATTGCAAATGCATCAGCGTGCCTCCTTGCTGTCGCTTTTGGAAATATATCTTGTTCCATGCTTGCTGTTACTGGTCTTGTTTATTACTTGACCTTAGGTCAAGCTGTATATGTAACCCAAGGTGATCTCCATCCTTCATGATTTCAATGACATCCTTGCGAGTGTATGACATTGCTTGTGATTCAATGAATTTCAAATGTGCATGTTCTTGTAGCTTAGGAGATAAAAGTGAAAATGACCTTTTCTTTTTTTGTTTTATGTTTTGGGTTGATCGAAGGCTACAGAGTAGGATGAACTTTTATTTGAACTGTGCATTTTGAAAGAGTTGGCAGCAACAATATTGCTGCTAACTTTTAAATGTGTGAACCGACATGGCTAAAAATTCATATTCGATGTACTCAAGGGACTTTCAATAGTATGATGTGGTGAAACTCTTGAAAGTGCTTTTGAGAACAGGAAATCAGAGATCTTGAAGGCGCTTTTGAGAAAAGGAAAACAGAGATTTGGGGTACGGAGGATCTCAAGCTCATACATAAAATGAACAAGTAAATTTGAGCATGTATGATGTGTTGGTGGGCTCACAATCTGCTTATGAGTGAAGAGTTGTCTAGTGCATAGCTGTACATTATTGTGATTGGGTTGGCAACAAGGCAATGCCATCAATTTAGACTTTGCTTCACGATTTGCCTACCTTTGTGCCTGAAACTGGTGTCCTTGGCCTTGTAAGTCAAGTCAAGAGTGGCCTCTTTTTTTGTGTTTTTACTCCTTAGGGTTAGGAGTGTGTGCGGTGCGGTTTAGACGATTTGAGAGTAAAATTATAAATTGAATGTCGGATTGGAAAATCGCGATTTGGACGATTTTGGACGAATTAACGGATTGAAAAATATTTTAATCAATTATCAAACATTTGTATAATATACAACACTAATTTACATAATATTTTTTATATATATAACACAAACTAATTTTATATAATATGTTTTATATATATAATTATTAATTTATAACAAATTTCATATCTTAAATCTTCTTTACTAATTTTTATTTTGATATTTCATTAGAGGTTAAAAAATATATATGTACTAACTATAATTGAGAGAAGTGGTTTTGAAGGCGAATTATAAATTTTAAAGTTTAATCCGTGATTAGCGGATAAAGTGGTACAGATTGATGCAAATAAGTACGGTTTTAACGGGTTGGATGATATTTTGCACAGCCTTACCCAAGGTGCATCGGGTTAGAAAGATCTGAATCTTGATGCATCTTGACACTAAAATAATTTGATACAACCAACATATTTGGTGAAAAGGGTGGCATTCATGACTAAAAGCAATTATACATTGCCATGAATGAAATTATGTCATGTCATATGAGATTGTGTCAAACCATGTTGGGGCAATCTAATTGTTGGTATTAATTAATTTTTCAATACACAATCTAATTGTTGGTGTTCAATACACATGCCATGTGTTTTGTAAATATAAGAGCATCTGTAATAGTGTATTTTAGGGTTGGGTGTTAAAAATTTGTGGTATTGTGCGTTTTAGAGTTCTAATGGGGTTAGTGTTAACTGTGTCATATTTAGAGTATTTGTTGATGAGAGATGAGGAGAGTGAGGGTAGAAAGCTATATCATAGGCTAGAGAGAGAGAAAGAGAGAGAAAGGAAATGGGGACAGAAAGTTATGTCATCGATTGAACAGAGAGAAAGGAATAGAGATAGAAAGCGAGAGGAATGACGTTTAAAAAGCTCTCTCACAAGAAAGAGAGAGAGAGAGAGAGAGAGAGAGAGAGGGCTAACGCAAATTGTTTTTTTTACTTTTATTCGTAATATATACTTTAACATTTCTATTGCAACATCTATTCACTTTTTAAATTAACAATTGGTTATATTTTTGTTGCCTCTTGTCAATTAACACGCTGACACAATTTTAACATTTTCATCGAAAATGCTCTACATGTTGAGAGAGTGTTTAATGGTTTTATTGAAAATGCTCTAACTGTTGATAGAGTATCTAATGGTCTTAAATATTGTTTCCTATCATACATCATTAGACACTTACTCACTTATCTTTCAAAAGTACAATATAAAAAAAAAAAACTCATAAATTACGCGGTTTCAACCAATAAAAATTAGATTAAAATACCACATGTACATGTTCCAAGAACACTAAATAATTTACCCTAAACTTTTTGTAGCTTCAACCTTGCACTCTCTTTTGTCCACTGTGTACTTACTAAAACTAAAGCACAAACCAAGAAGAAGGTATTTATGATGTTATTTTAAATCTATGGTTTGGGATGTATGATTTTTGGCTAAACGAATGTTAGAAAGTCAAAAAAGAAAAAGAAAAAATTTAAAACCAAAATCAAAAAGCCAAAAGATTTGGGTTGCATCTAAAAAAAAATTGATTAAATTAGTATAAAAAAATCAACATACCCTTACACTAGCATTTTTTTTCATACAATTAAAATAAAGATAAGACGAGAATATTAAATATAAAGTCAAAATATCACAACAATATTTTTCATACAATTAAAAAATTCATTTTTAAAAAATTAAAAAACAACTAAAAAAATTAAATCCCAAAAACCAATTGTGATGTGCAAAGTGTGAAATCCAATTTGATGGCTCGTAGGGTTGGGTGTTGTGTGAATAAGGTCATCCATCTTTTAGGGGCTGTGGAATTCATGTCAAAATGCATTTGCTTCCAAGCTATCATTTGCCCCAAAACCACATCCCTTAATCTACGTTTGAATGAAAGTAATTTGCAGAAGGCTGTAAAAAAAAAAGTAATTTTGGATTTATTGATTCCATTATTTGGAACAGATTAAAATATGAACATGATTTTTTATTATCTATCTTAACAAAAATAACATTCTAAATTTTGTAGCAATCCCATTCCGAGTCCGGATCCTCAGCCGTGTTTGCCTGCGGTGGTGTCCTGCAGTGCCCCAAAACGACGTCGTTTTGGGGCAAAATTTCAAAAAAAAAAAAACCAGAACCAGAACCAGAGGAACACAAGGAGAGGAAGAAGAAAGAAGGCACCGGCAAAGGATTTATCTATTTTGCAGCCATTTTTCTGTGTACTTTCTTCTCCAAACCCCTCCATTTCTCACCATCACCCATAAGAACACCAACATTATCAACCATTCAAACAAAAGTTTGAGGTTAAAAAATCTGATATATATATATACATACATACATACATACATACATATTAACACTTTGAACAGCCATATTTACATACATATTTACCTGTTTCGCTTTCTCTCTCTCTCTGCCGTCCGATTCTCCGGCGTCTCCTCCTCCGATTCTCCATTGTCCGATCTCCTCCCACAACCCCTACTTGATTCTTCTGTTTGTTTCCCGAGAATTTTTTTGAGCAGGTTGTGTTTGGTCCCAGCAAAAGAGTCCCTTTTTCAAGCAGATCGGAATTATTTGTCAAATCTGAAGTTGGAATTTGAAGGTTAGTAAAGTAAAAAAAATTACAAGTTTGTTTTTTTTGCATCTTGAGCAGAGAGAGATTTGGATTCAATGTGTTAAACCCACTAAACCTAACCCACTACTACCTACCACACACACTCACCTCCTCACCTAACCTACCACTACCACCTCCACTTCATCTCCTACCACTTCACCTACTACCTTCTTCTCTTCTATATATTTGATCATTGTAAACATAACAAAATATCAATATATACAACAATCTTGTAACCAATAATATACATCAATTTATTTTACATGGTATCAGAGCTAGTGTGTCTGTGTGTGTGTGTGAAGATCAAGAAGACACTTCTCAGGGGGATTGGGCACACTGAAGTAGACTTTCGTGCAATACAAATCTGTAAAAATATATGTATTATTGATTATTGATTACAAGATTGTTATATTGTATTACAAATCAGAGTGGCATTATATAGGAGAGGGTTTGGGTAGTAGGTGAGGAGTAGTGGAGTGTAGTAGGTGAGTGTGAGTAGTGGAGTGTAGTAGGTGAGTGTGAATGGTAAATTCTAACAGCCCCCCGCAAACTCAAGGAGGATAGAAACTAACCAACTTGAGTTTGAAGAGAGGAACAAAATAATAAAATACATAAAAATAAAAAAGGATAGGAGACACTGTATGGTCGTGTCAGACCGTTGGTGAAGACACTGAAAGCATTCACCCTACGAACTAAAAGTTCTAACATTCATTACAATCATATGAAATTTAAATACTATCAAGACAATGACCAAAAAGTTCACTACAAATATGAACATATAACATCAATCAAAAACTGCATACACATGGGAGCTTGCACATATGAGACAAATACATAAACACAGTGACAAAACTACGACTGGGATTAGAATTGAGCTAAAATAATGAATAGACAGCATAATGCCCCTCAACTCCCCAAACATTTGCAAACAAGGGCATGGGCATGAATTAGAAAACATAACATGACTTCAATGTTTTTAACAGTTTATGACATTTATCCGTTATGTAAGTTAAATTTTCATTAAGTGAGCTTTTATCACCTCAGTAACAAGATTGGTGTCAGTCCCACTAGATTCTTTTAACTCCATTGTTTGCCTAACCCAATACAAATAATAAAATAAGGCATGTTCACCGTTCACCAACAAAGACAGTCCACGCTATCAAGAGGGAGCACCCCCTCTCCAAGATTCCTCAATCACAGAAAATAACTTCATACCCTCATCCTCATGTCCCTCAAAAGAAACACCCAGAAGCTGACTCACCTCATTGATTTGATCCAACACCCAAGCCGAAACCTCCTCAGCATAAGGAGGATCATCCCCCAGAAACACATTCTCTACCTCCGACTCTCGTCCCTCTTCCGCAGCAATCAACATGTCTGTCTCAGTACCCTCTTCCGTCAGCCAAATCACCATCGCCAACTCGTCTGCCATATTGGCCCACCAAGTTTCGTCTGCTGACCACACCTCCATGCGATTTCCCCTAGATCCCGACAGAGTCCGATGCTGCTCCTCCAACGTCGGACTCTCATGACCCAATAAACATTCCCCATCATGAGAATACTCAGGATGCTACCTACTCCCAAATCCTC